TAAAACCTATCCACGAATACAGATATAGATACACAAGATATAGAGTCAGTGGGGACTGAGTTTATACCCACCTCAGCCCCACCATGATTGGTGGGTACATTTTTCAATTATGACACCTAGACAGTGGCGTAACTAGGTTCCGCTCGAGGGCCATGCTTCGAGAGTCGGCCTACAGTCGGGGCCCTTGAAGCATATAAATAATTGGCCGACGTCGATCAGGCTAACAAAGTTAACAAAGTATTCTTTACTGAAGTGATCCTTAGTAAAACCTGCTGAACACCATCCCTACATTTCTGAGTCTTTAACTCGGGGCCAGAAAAATGTTATTCATGAAAAGGATGAAAAGGATTTTTCTACAGTTAAAATTTAAATGTGTGCCATAACTAGATGAATTGAGTTGCTTATTCATCCATGATTATATAACTAAAGTGCAAGGAGCACGAATGATCACGGTACCGTAATGTACATAACGTGCATGCAAAGTATTGTGAAATAGACCTATATACAATATGCAGCTAAATAAAACATGTGTTATGAATTACACAGACAGAATACATTATGCTATGCATTATATTTGGAAATAGGCCTACAAATTAATTAATACCGAAAAGTTTCGAATGATATACTGATGGTACAATTTTAATTTTACTTCTTGCCAAATTCTGTCTGAAGCAATAAAAACATGTTTATAACGCTCTAGATGAATTGTACTATCCCTTGAATTGTAAAAGTTGTTTATTGAAGTGCTGTGTTTGCTTATGATAGGCCTTATACCGATTACACTTTAACAAGGAAGTCGGCCACATACATACTTAAAAAAATGAATATCATTTACTTTAGGGGTTTAATTTTGATTGCAAGTAATCAGGGCCACCTTGACCCGTATACCTTTGTGTGGTGATAACAATTCGGCCGACTCCAACTCCCAAATGTTATAAATAGTTAATTAGTTATTTTATATTTATTTTAAACAAACATTTTTAAAATCAATCTTAATTACTAAATTTAAGGATTGCCAATCTGTAAAGCTGACATGTCCAAAAGGCAATATAAAAACAAGTACGTGGTGGAGTCTTGTTTAAATATTAACCAATTATAGTGAGGTTTTAAGTACCCTATCCTATAGGAAGTAGAAGACGAAGGAGCAATTATTTTCTGAAAAAAATCCCGAAGCCAGCAAGGTTGAAGGCAATTTTTGAAGGAAATAATCTCTCTAAAGGCTTCTATTTCGTAAAGTGTACGAAATTACTTGACTATAATTGCTTTATAGTCAGTTGTGACGTCCGTTACCTTTTATACAGCCCTTAAATCAAACTGCTGGTCGAGAGAGGTTGTTGTATATTCATAAATAAAACTGCTGGTTGCGATGGCCGGTTGCTCAGTAGTTGCTCAGTAATTACTGTGCTTGTGCATTAGCTGCAGGTATTAGAATGACTACTGAAATATGGAGCTTTTGATGACGAAACTCTATAACGGATTTATTCATGCGTGACCGTCCTGCGTTCTCTGCACAACGTAGATTTGGCCAAATTGCATACTGAAATCCACGACGAGGAGAAATTAACGGTCTCACACGCGCAGATGAAATATTAGTGACGTAATTACGTTCTAGATTCTACTACGTTGTGCAACCGAAAGCTCCGTAATTTTGTTAGTAGTACGTGCACTGACACTTTTTGCACAGAGCTGTATAGAAAATTAATTTTCTTTAATAGATTAAAATGTATTGTAAACATTATTATGAATTATAGGTCAATCATGCAATAGACATGGACGGAAAAATCGCCATCACGGGAATCGGGTGTAGGTATGGTGATGGAGTGTCTGGATCACGAGAGATTTGGGACATGTTAAAAGAAAACAGAGACTGCACAGGCCCTCATCCAGCCAATCGATTTAATACATCGTTCTACCTCTCTCCTGGTGAAAAGAAAAAGGGCAAAATCTACACTAAGGCAGGTGGCTATCTGAAACAAGATCCTATGATGTTTGATCGACAGTTCTTTAAGATGTCTCCAGGTAAAATAGAAAAAAAAGCCTATCTATATTTCATTTTATACTACACTGTACGGTTTGTAAAAAAATGTTAACTTAAAAAGAAGAAACAAATTTGAATTTAGCTTTGATATTTATAATTACTCGACGTGTTCTGTACACTTAATTCATATGCTATCATACATTTATATACAGTAGATGTGGAATCTAACATCAAAATATCATTATTCTTAGACGAAGCTAACCACATGGACCCACAAGTGCGGATTCTTCTTGAAGTAGTTTGGGAAACTTTGGAAGATGCGGGAATTCCTTCAGATACACTGCGTGGTTCAAACACTGGAGTCTATATGGGCGTCACTGCTAATGAATACATCACATTGACTGGATTACCACAGAGTAATGTCAGTCAATACACAAATTCAGGAACCAACTCTTGCATGATCTCTAATCGTATATCTTACGAATTCGATTTACGAGGACCCAGCTTTTCCATTGACACTGCCTGTTCTTCATCTCTATACGCTGTACAAATTGCCTGTGATGCTTTAAGAGGGGGAATTTGTGACACGGCAATTGCCGGAGGAGTCAATATCATACTTACTCCTACCGCTACAATTGGATTTTGTCAAGCCGGAATGCTTTCTCCCGACGGGCAGTGTAAAAGTTTTGACGAATCAGCTAACGGTTACAGCCGAAGTGAAGGTGCAGGGTCAGTAGTACTCAAACCTCTAAAGAGGGCTATAGAAGACGGAGATAGAATTTATGCAGTGATTCGAGGGGGCGCTTTAACAAATGATGGACGGACACCTGGGATTGCAAACCCAAGCTTCGACGCTCAGATTGATCTTGTTGAGAAAGCTTGTGCAGCAGCTAAGGTAGATCCATGGGACGTCGCATATATTGAAGCTCATGGAACTGGTACTCCTGTTGGTGACAGGACAGAAGCAAATGCTATTGGTGAAGCAATGGGCAAGCGACGTGCCGATGACGCCGCACCTCTGTTTATCGGTTCCATAAAATCTAACGTAGGGCATTCAGAGGGGGCTGCAGGTGTAGCAGGTGTTATCAAAACAGCATTGTCGTTGTACCATCGAGAAATTCCAGGTGTTGCTAATTTCAAACGTGGTAATCCTAACATCAATTTCAAATACTTGAAGCTAAGAGTGCCTACTTCAATCACTCCGTGGCCTGTGGGATCAAAGCTTCTTGCAGGCTGTAGTTCATTTGGGTTTGGTGGAGCCAATGCTCATATAGTCCTTGAAGCACCCCCAGTGAAGCAACTCTACAGTCAGACACACTGTGACGATTATAGTTCATCATCTTCCCCTGTGTCCTACTTCATGTTAATGCTTTCCGCAAAGTCACCTAAAGCACTTCAGCAAAAATATGTTAATTGGACACAATTCCTCTCAAATACTCTTGATTCAAATCCTGCTGTGTTTCAGAACGCGTTATACACTGCAAATATGAGGGCCCAACATCTTGCGCAGAGAACTACTTTTATAGCAAAATCCAGAGATGAACTAATGATACTACTGAAGAAACAAGTAAATGGAGAACACTCTGACACTATCATCGAAGGCAAAGCACCAGAAGGCAATTCTATCAATAGAACAGTGTTTGTCTTCTCTGGTATGGGGACACAATGGTGGGGAATGGCAAGGCAACTAATGAAAACACAACCCATATTCAGCAATGTCATAAAGGTGAGATTGTAATCAGATAAACAATTATATTTTTGACATTATAGTCATAAATTAATTTTTGTGGTATTTTTCTCTATAATAAAATTGTAACTTTCACTTTCGTAATTGCTCACTGTCGTACATAATTTTGTTTTAGTTAATAGACGAACTTCTGTGGAAAATTGGAGCAAAATGGTCGCTGGTTCACATATTGTCGGACGAAGAAGATAAAACGAGGATTAATGATACAGGTAAGGGGATTATTTTGTCATTAATATTTGATTTATACGTAATGCGTATATAAATGTTCCGTGAAGCAGAGAATCACATTTAAAATCCTGATAATTATATAGAAGGCACTACATACTTTTACTCCATCCTATTAGATATTCAGCTTACCTAACTATTTTGCATGTTCCAGCATGTCGATTAAAAACGTATGGCGAAAGATGGTTTCACGTAGCAGCACCAAAGCTCTGGAACAGCTTACCTTCTAATGTGAGAGAAGCTCCCACCCTTGCTATTTTCGAGAAAAGCTTGAAGACGCATCATTTACTTTCTATTGATATTCAACTATTCATCCTTTTTTTGCGTTCTTGTGCTCTTTATCATTAATTTTGTTGCTTTTAGATTATTGTAGGCTTGCCTAGATAGTTGCATGATGCATCTGTGAATTATGTGCCCGCCAACCATTGTCTGTCAATGATCTTAAATTGCTGGCCAATGATGCAGTGATGTTTGGTTTTTCTGCTCAGTCGTTCACTCTGCATTCAAATAGTTTCTTGATTACAATAAGTTTCTATTTTTAAAACAATTTTTATCATCTTTTAAGCGCATTGAGACCTCGGTTTAATGCAATTTTTAAAGTCCCACTACATTACATTACATAAATAACAGTACGCAATAATTGGAGCATACGATATGGTAATTGTATCAGGCATAGCGGTTTATTAAAAAGTTTCTTTTTCATTTTTATATGTGTAGCTAGAATGAATCCTTTCTTAAATCGATAGAATACAAAGAAGTGTATATTTCATCCATGTATCGATTCATTTAAAATAAAAAATTACTACTAATTTTTAAACATTCTATTTCTATTTCACAGAAATTTCACAAACCTGCATTTGTAGCATACAAGTCGGATTAGTTGAGTTGTACAAACATTATGGAGTTACACCGAGTGCCATCATTGGCCATAGTGTTGGTGAAGTTGCAGCAGCCTACGCTGCAGGACTTCTAAGTCTAGCTACTGCTATTAGAATCATATTCAAAAGAGGACATCTCCTGAGAAAGACAAGTGGGTCAGGAACTATGGCTGCAGTTCTTCACGACATTGATGATGTTCAGACACAACTGAAATCTACTATCACATATATAGACGTGGCTGCTATCAATAGTCCTTCACAAATCGTGCTTTCTGGCAAAAACGAATCAATAAAAGAGTTTACTTCTAAACTGAATGAAGACGGAATACAGACGAGAGTACTGAAGGTTAATAATGCATTTCACAGTCGTCAACAGGAAATTCTTAAAATAGAATTCTACAAAAAAACAAAATTCTTGAAGAAGGTAATGCCTTCAAAAGAGCAGAGGCCTCTAATTCCAATGATGTCAACGGTGACTAACAGTTATTTGACCTTGCAAGAAGCAAATCAGTCTGACTACTGGTGGGCCAATATTCGCCGTCCGGTGCAATTCAAGGGTGCAGTTGAAGCTATTCTTAAGGATGGCTACAATAGCTTCATTGAAATAGGAGCTCACCCAGTGCTGTCACCTGCAATCCAAGACATTGTCGCTTCCAAACCGAACAAGCCAACTATTTATTTTATTACCCACTCACTTAAACGACCACGTGATATAAGTTCTTCAGCAAATGATACCCTTAATATTAATATATCATTAGCACAGATGTATGTGAACGGTTACCCCGTGGAAATGGGTCCCTTTTTTGAAGGTTGTAACTGTGAAGTAGTATCGTTACCTATGTATCCATGGCAACGTGTCGAATGCTCTGCAGCGACTGAAACAAGTAATGCAAGTATGCGTTTTTCTAATTCTTGTCATCCGCTTCTCGGTGACCCAGAAACATCCGCCAACTATTCTCAAAATCCAAATCTTCATGTTTGGAAATCTAAAATCGGAACTGACAAAGAACCATGGATTGCTGACCACGTTGTCCAGGATAGTATAATTTTTCCTGCTACTGGATACATTGAGATAGCCATTGCGGCACACTATCAACTGTTTACAACTGCTCCTGTAATAGTTATGTCTGATCTCCATTTTGACCGTTTTTTGTTTGTCTCTGAGACCGGTATTCTTTCAGAAACAACAACTAAGATAGAATCTAATGAATCAGCAGTATTCTCATTTTGCTCATTCAATGCACTAGAGAGAAGGTGGACGCCACATTCAACAATGAAGTTATTATCAAGTGCTAACATATGTGAAGAGACAACTGAGCATAGATGTCTTCCCATAAATGACATCATAAATAGATGCCCTGGTGAACTGGATAAATCTGGTTTTTATGCAAACAAGAAGCAAGTAGGTTTCTATCTTGGAGAAGCTTTTTTGTGTATTGAAAAGGCAAATTTTAGTCCAGTGGTTGACGAAGCACTTATCTACCTTCGGGCACCAGACGCTGTGGCTGCACAGTACAATCGTTTTTATGTCCATCCTGCATTTCTTGACGGTATATTTCAGGGAATGGCTGGCATTGAGCGTCAACAAATGAAGACCAAAAATCCGAATGCAAAGGCTGAGGGACGTGTTCCTAGATCTGTCGAGAGAATTTATTTCCAAAAAGTTGTATTTCCTCACAATGTATTACTCCACTATACCATAACAAGTAGTGGAGAAGATGTGTATTCAGACGTGTATATTGCTCATGGAGAAACGTACAAAATAATTGGTAAATTTGAAAAAATTCGGTTTGGATACGTTGGGAGCCACACTTTATACAAACAACCTCACATTTGGAATAGAAAATGGATTTCCACAAAATTGAGAAAAAAATCTTTCGATGCCAGTGGCCTTACGATAATAACGGGAGATGATGAGGAGCTTTCTGTACAACTTCAAAGCACACTGACCTCAGTGGGAATTTTGTCAAAAATAGACACTAATGGAGGTGATAAATCTGAGCAGGTTGAGCAGGTAGGCATAGAGAATGAACCTATGTCCAATGTTATTATTGTTATTAAGCCTGGCAACACTAACGATATGCATACATTTTCTAAAGAAGAATTTTTGGAACAGCAATATCAGACAGCCAGCATGTGCATCAATCAATACAATTTTTTATCTTCAATAGAAAAGATAAATCCAAACATATGGCTTATTACACGAGATGGATTTTATGTCACCAAGGATGACATGATCGATCCTCGGCAGGCTTCAGCTTACGGATTTGGTCTTTCTATTATACAAGAAGATGTAAATTTCAAGCTTACAATTCTCGATATTCCATCAGAAATCGATACCATAACCACCGCTAAGTGGTTGCTGGAATACATCTGGAAGATAGATAATGATGCAAGAGGCATTGCATTGCGAAATTCTTTGTCTGACTCGACAGAATATTTCGATGTATTTTCTCTTCGTCTATGTGTAAGTAAAAGTGATTACTTTCAACACAAACTTTTATCGAAAAAGTGGAAGTTAGACGTTAGCCGAAGCTTCCAAACCGGGAAACTATTAACAACAGCCTGTTATGCTTTGGAGGATAGCATATCTACACAATTAATAACTGTGAATATTGAATCATTTCAACTTCTTAAATCTACCACAGAAACGACCTCCGAAAAGGCTCAACCAGTTGTCTTGTTTTGTGGACATTCAGAACAATCTAGGTTAGTGATGGGTGTTTGTTCTGCCAGAGAATTACGATCTACACTACACTATAAATGGCATGAACTAATTAGCATTACTAGCAAGCTTCCAGCTGCCCAAGTAATAAATATTGTCACTTCATATTTTGTTCCATACATGGCTGTTCATGATTTGCCGCTAGATGGCACTACCGTCGTCTGTATGTCATCTAATAAAGACAAACAAGGCTTAGCAGTTGCACACATAGCGGTAGAGCTAGGTCACACAGCTGTAGTAGCAGTTAAAGATCTATCCAATGAGAATGGAGTTCACCTAAGGTCATTTAAATCAGTGCTTATTGTAGATGTTAAAGAGATTTGTACAGTTTTAGACGAACAAAGTGTTGGCTGTGTAATTGGGTCCGAAAATGTTGTAAGCGAAGTACTAATGTCTGGAGCAATAGAAAGAAAACTAAAACCATTTGCTACAATTGAAATACTCAAATCAAACAAACCAAGTTATCGTAGTTCCAACTTTGCATTTCCTGTAAACGCAAAGGTTGTAATGAAAAATTACGAATTACCTTTGATTGAAGGATTTCAACAAATTTCACCTCTTATTGACAAGTTATTACTTTTGTTTGAGAGGACATCTTCTATACACCCTTTACAAGACGTTATTCCACAGATCATGGATTTGAAAGACGTGGATACTCAACATAATATTTCTTTCAATGATGTCACCTTTTCATTTGATGGAGATGCCGTTCCTGTAAATTATGACTTTGCTGAGAGTAAAATTAAATTTAGCAAACACGAGTCATATATCGTTACCGGTGGTACAAAAGGATTTGGATTATGTCTTGTAGAGTGGCTTGCAAGCAATGGAGCTGGATGTATTAATATCTTAAGTCGATCCGAGCCTGATTCTGAGGCTCAGGTAAGGTTGGACTGTCTGAGAAAATCTGAAACAACAATAGTTTATATTAAGACTGATATTACAGATAGAACAGGTGTAGAAAGTGCTTTCAAAAGAATTGTTAAAGATTCGTGTAAGCCATTATCAGGTATTTTCCATTGTGCGGCGCAGTATGATGACAGACTAATCAAAGATATCACATCAGATAACTGGAAGAAAGTGATGGCGGCTAAATCATGGGGTGCTCTGTTGTTGCATCGGACTTCAATCAAGTTTAACATGCAGCTGAAATACTTTGTAATGATTTCATCCATGGTTCAAATGGTTGGAAATACCGGTCAGGCGAGTTATTGTGCTGCTAATAGATACCTTTCATCTCTTCTATATTCCCGGAGAAGTAAAGGTTTACCGGCAACTGTCTTCTGTCCAGGAATTATTCAAGACACTGGATTTGCAGCTGCTCGGAAAGGACTTCTTGACTTTTGGGAAAGAAAAGGAATTGAAAGTCTGACAGCAGTAGAGTTACTAAATGTGCTTGGTGTTATACTTTTAAGTGATATTTCAGAAATTGGCATAAGTGGACATTTTCGAGTTCATGACTTTATGTCAAGTATGAGTGGACTTGTTAAAGAGTACACGAACAGTGATATTGATGAAATAGGTTTTATTGAATTGGGGTTTTCTCTACCATCATTAGATGCAAGAGAGGATGAAATTAACTTACAACATGGAGATCCAGATGAGGCTAAACTGATTATTTTACAGTCCATTTGTGGATTAATTTCAAAGCGTCTAGGCATAGCTAGTGACATATCGCCAGATTCTTCACCCTCTTCGCTTGGAGTTGATTCGTTGATGTCAACTGAGTTGAGTGGAGTGATTCAAGCCAACTTTAAGGTTCCACTTTCACCGTTAGAATTAATGAATGCAAATATGTCAGTTCAGGCATTATCAGCTTTAATATACAAAAGAATTATGGCGAAAGGTAAGGTTGGGGAGCAAGAAAACGAGGAAGACGAAGATGACACCTCTTGGAAAACCTGGTATATCATGGATGAAAAAGTGACATCTCCAAATATCCAACTTATTTGCTTTCCACCAAATGGGGGCGGTCCGTCTGTATATGCTTGGTGGCAACATAAATTGAGTAATCAGAATATCCAGTTAATAATGGCACAGCTACCCGGTTGGGAAGGACGTCATCTGGAGAAGCCCCTTCAAAACCTCGACGAAATAACGAACCAGCTAACTAAACATCTAGTTCGTCGGCTTATCCCAGGTAGATTTGTTTTATTTGGACACAGCATTGGAGGACTAATCGCATTTGAGGTTGCCCATCTTCTCAAAGACAGTGGTCTACAAGCGGCCCACATCATTGTCAGTTCGTGGTACGCTCCAACGTTAGGTTATCCTAACGCGATCGATCTTGAAAGGGGGCCGAGTATTTTACGACAAATGGAAGTAGATATCAAGAAAAATATTCGACTCACCGACAACAAGGCTATGAGGCTTTCCTTTCTTGATGATGAGGTGTTGAGTAACCCTAAGCTGATGCGACGCCTTATTCCTTGCTTCCAAGTGGGATTTAAAATTTGCCAAAAGTACACCAACACTCACAACACAAAACTGCAGTGCGGCATGACCGTATTGGGTGCAAAGTCAGACAAGTTTGTTCCACCTGGATGTTTGGATGCTTGGAATCTAGAAATTGAACCCAGTCGTCGATTCAAAAAGATTGTAGTTTCAGGAGGTCACATGCACATTATGTCATCAAAGAATAAATGTTTTAATGAAGTCCAGACCGCTCTAAGAGATGCATTTGGGGTCTAATCTAATCAAGTTATAGATACAAACATTTTTAATAGGTTTAATTTTTTTTATCACAATTTGGATATTGTTAGCCTAAATATTATAATAATTTCTTTTATCGACAATACCGTATTTGTTTTAAAAAGGTCCCGCATACAAATTCAATGGAAGCAACATAATTCACTACGCGGTCTATTCATGTTCTATTCCAATAGAATTACATCTAACCTGATTTGGATGAATAAGTCTTAAGGGGCGTTTAAATATTTCAATATATAGGCATTCATTTTACACCCCCCAAAATAAACGCCTTTTTTCGAATAAACGCCTTCCTTGAATAAACGACCCCTCAAAATCGCCTCTCAACAATAAACGCTCCGAGGCGTATATTTGAATAAATATGGTATATGTTTTCATTATGTTGAGTTAAGTCTCTTGAGCTGTGTAGACGTGTAGCTTGATTACGTATTGCAGGCCTAGGAGGAAACATAATAGATGTTAGGTTATCATACAGCAACAAAAATGATGGTTAATCTATAAATTGTAGGCCTATATTATATAATTGTTATAATTTTTAAATGTATAAAATCTAGACTTTAGAATACATAGTTTTGTACACAGTACACGAAAGCTCACAAGTTTGAATAATACTTTACGATAATGATTGTTCTTAATAATTGAAGAGTACACGGGAGTTAGGTAGATTGTTGTATACAATATAAATAATATCATAATATTGCCTCATTTAAACTACTGTCAATTAGTGGAACAAATGTATTCCAAATAATACATTTTTTCCCTAAAATATATATTGGATGTTACAGTATACTGTATATCATTTGATTATTATTTAGTTATTTTGAATTTATGCGATACTTGTACTAGAGTACAACGTACTATTTTCCTGCCTTGATATTATTTTTGTATTATCGAGATACTGTTTAACAAATGATTTCTCACGCACCAACATTTCAAAATATTAACTTTGTAACATTGAGGCAAATACTATTTTGACAGGATAAGACATAGTAACTTCAGACATGCCACTCAATAATCTGTAATAGGCACCCCTCTAAAATATGAATCGCTCTTAAATAGGCCGTAGTGCCGCACAACAGATAAAGCCTGAAATTTACAAGTGTCACGGTAAATTTTGTTTGGTATTTGGTTGATGAAATCTCGCATATTTAAAATATATTGTGCATGTTGAATTGTTGGGAGAGAGAAGAAGATAAAGAAGAAGAAAAGAAAAAAAAATCCGTATTGTATTAGATGTTACGGTGTAATATTTGATTATTAATTCTAGTCTTTAGCCTATCGTACCTTATTAACATTGTTTTACTGAGAAATTTCAGAAAAGAGATTTTAATAATTTCACATTTATATAAAACTCTATTTAGCAAGTATAGTGGTGTACGTGTGTGCGCAATACGCAGCGGCAAATATTTTTGTCATTCAGTCAACAGACCTTTCCGGAGTGTCAATCAAACTTAACAACTGACCAATCATAACAGCGCTAGGAATACGCGCTTGTCTCACAAACACACGTGACGTGTTGTCCCACAAACGCACGTGTTTGCGTATGTTTTAACCATAGAGGTATAATAAGAATACTAGAGCGCTAACTGCAGTGTATTCGATGTTCGAAATACGCAGAACTATGTGTGTGTGTGTACCATCCAAGATGGCTGCCGTAGATTCGCCTAACCTAAGCATCATTGTTTTCAATGGCGCCCTTAATTTACTCATGAAAGTTGAGTACAACTTCGTTACCCGTATGTTGAAACTCGAACGTTGAGGTGTATGGGTGTTATGTACACGATTTCAATTTTTATTTCTCGGTACTTTATTTTTAAATAAGATACCTCCACTTGACCTCTTTTTGGTAACAATAGTTTATTAATTTATTAATATTAGTTATAATAATGGTTAATGAAACAATAGCTAATCAGAGGGCATAATTATAATATGTATACTAAGTCTGAAGGTGGCACTTTCCTACGGCGGCCATCTTGGATGGTACACATACACAACTCTGCATTGCTTTGCCATCTTGTCAGCACTCTGGTTGTTTAATAGCTCTATGGTTTTAACACTGTCGTCTTGTGGGACTTTGCAATAATATCCAATTGGCGGGGTTTAGCGGAAAGGTCCATTAATGTACCAGGTAGTGGATTCAAATCCATGGTCAAGCCACTAATTATGACTAAGAGTAAGGTAACGGCCTTTCAAGAATGTTAATTAAATTTAACACCCAATTAGAACAGGGCCAGAAATGCGTACGTGTCCTACAAACACATGTTTTGTCGCACAAAAGCAAGTACGTGTGTGCGTATGTATACACTGTCGCTTTGTGGTACCTTAGCTGCAGCAGTATCGAAGGGGCGGGGCTTTGCAAAAAGCTCTATTGAGCTGAATTAATACATTTGTTTCTCCCAGGATTACTGTAATTAGTACACTAAATATCCCATAGGCTGTCACTTTTTTTGACTAACAGTCACTACGCTTATTCGAGAATAGGGTCTGCACACGGACAGTAATTATTACCGAACGTTTCTCGATATTTTGTAAATATATAACGTCTTATATATATATATATATATATATAATATATATATATATATATATATGTATATATAAAATGCACCACTCCTAAAATTTGTAATAAGCCCCTCAATCGAATAAGCGCCTCTTTCAAATAAACACCAAACTGAAACTTTAAGCAAATGTACATGCAATATGCGGTAGTCTGATTATTTACGGTACAGTAAGATCGGTCAGCATAAATGTGATAATATTGAAGCCGTATATAATTTGTATTATGTATTGTTACTTGTGGAATTAAATTAAAAAATATGTAGTAACATAAAATCCGTTAGTCTCTGTTTGGAATTTACAAGTCCTGATAGCGATCTAAAGCAGGGATATCACCTAAGTGGGGGTGGGGCGATGGGGTCGGGAAACACAATTTGTTTGGGGGAAAGTTATAATGTATTTTTTATATAATTATACTGTGTTATAGTATACTCTGAAATCGATTAAATAAGCCTTTGAAACTCTTGCATTGACATAGTTTCGCGGGGGTTCTCCATCTGGATCACTTCATTGTGAGTGTGAACGACGCCTGACCATGCCCATAATCAGCGGAGGGTCGGCTCTCCGGAGGCCAGGGACTTCGGACCCCTCATGTGGCAAATTCTGGCGCCACTTCTGAGCTATTACAGAAGTAGGCCTACAGTAAACGGTGTGCATGTTTTTTATTTATCCAAGGAAAATGGATTAGGGAATGCGGTGTAGTTACTGTCATTAGGCCTAAGCTTAATAACAATAAAAGCGAATAAAATGAAATAATTTGGTAATTTAACATTTTAAAATCAGCTTTGTTTGCTCATCTATAGAAAGGCGAAAGAAAGCTGAGATTCATATTTTTCACATTATGACCTTAAAATAATTTACTGGAATCTCCTTACAATTGCCGAAGTTATTAATCAATGTATTACGGCAGCTCTGTACTAATGCATTACACTGCCACCTATGCTAATTTCTCAGTTTAACATTTAGCGACAGTTAAGTGTGGTGATGCTACGCCTCTGATATAAAAGACATGGGCCTGATACTGTAGATTTAGGTTGACGAGAAAAGATGATATGGCATTATATTTAGAGGATGAATCGGCTGAGGCCTAATAGAGCTAGACCTGACCTAGCCTAGTGATGTACTAAGCAGCAGCGGTTGGTCTACATCGTATGTAATATATGGGTGTCCTACCTTGACCACCAGAATGTTGTAATTTTTGTCTAGTCTAACTACGTAAAACATGGAAAGTGCTGAATACACCTTTTGTTATTCTATAATTACGGATATTACCTAATTCTACACATTATACAATAGCAAAGATAATTCAGTTATATAATGGCAGACGATGATGATAATGATGATGATGATGATGATGATGATGATGATGGTGATTAATGATAATAAAAATAAAACCAAGTAGACATGGATAGAACATGATTGAGTAGGGACGGAGCTTAGGGCCTATAAATGACCATATTGGTGTCCAAATTTGGAAAATCCACTCACTTCCTTTAGCTTGAGATGAAAGAATGTTGACGGACTTACATATTCATCATTATACACCTTATATTATGCCTAATAAATACATTTTCCGAGATCAGCGGAAAAAACTCCGCGTCAATGGGCGTAGGTACACTTTAAAGGGTGCCGCGCGGCCCGCGTAGTAATTGCAATCTCTTGCATTTCCTCGTGTGGATATATACAACCGGCCCCATTTTCTAGTTCGGGATTGAAATTACCCCGCTCCGTGCCCGATAACTGCTGGAAATTCATTTTCCCGCCTGCCAACCCTTCCTCCTCCAATATACAAGCTTAATGGCTTGCTGGTCACTTTTTAAGAAATTTTACTCTGGAAACTCATTTAAGGGACCGATCGTGTGCGACGGTCCCTTTGCCTTTTGTCGTAATAAATCACGAACGAATCACACTATATCATGATCAGATTATGTGTTACTGAGTGTGGTGGTCAAGTGGACGGGTCAACATATTGATTCTCAGACGAGTAGACACAAATTAACTTTTACAGACTGGCACTTCTCGAAAGTTGTTTTCAAAATACTTGTTTGTTAACCAAGCAATTCGACAATATATATGCATATACCACCAACCAGTGGTTATACCTAAAAAAATTACATATGGTCAGGGATGGCGCCAGGACCTGCCCGACGGAGGGGCTAAAGGCCCCGACGGGGGGCTAGTGGAGCGAATCGATTCTCGTACTTGGCTGGGGGCCAGGGAGGCCGCCTATGATATTTGATGAATTATGGCGAATTTTTATTACTTATTTGATAGGCATCGAGTTACTATAATATGACTTCATGTAGGCTACGGTATGCTTTCTAATGTTGACATCAGCTTCCAAAACCAAAACATTTTGAATAAAGCAAGAAACAAAGAGTATGCAATGTAACCATCTAATTTATTTTCAAATCCTCATTCTTGAAAGTGAAATTCTATATTTTGGAAATTTTGCATGAAATCAAACACGCTGTCATGGTCGAGGTTGCTTCACCTATCACGATGT